TCCACAATGTATGAATACTGACTGAACTCTCATTAGGATCCATCCCAAAGCTTCTAGTCAACTAGTATTTCAACTACCTAATGTCAACTAGCAACATTTATACCCACCCAGTGAAATTATTGCCTAAACTCTTTCTTGAACTAATTATATCGGATATTAGCAAGGCCATAGAAACAAGAAAATTCACCAATTATATAGTTCACCTACTAGAAAATTCCATATTGCCGTCAATCTCATTGAAGCAATACTCCTTTCTTACACCAGTAGGTTCTCATGCACAAGAATCTAACAAAACACTAGGATATACTACCACCACCATGCTGATCCATATACCTATGCTAAACTAAGTTTAATAACTAGCAATGCATACTAAACCTATCCAATGTCATACGTCTACACAAACTAAACCCTAAAACAAAAGGAAGATCGAACAATAATTAGAGAATGATTTGGAAGAGGTGGTTAAACCTTTGATGCATATGTAGACAGCTTCAAGTTGCTCTCGTCACTACACCGCACCTTGCCAGAGATCTTCCACCAGCGCAACCACCGCCGCCTCCCCCTCGGCTTGCAGCAATGAGGGACGGCCTAAGCTTCTCCCCAACCTAGGCCCTCCTCCACACCCCAGTTCCTACCCATCGTGGCTCCTTCCCCACAAAAGTTGTTCCCCACCAGTAGATCCTCCCCAACCAACCTCCTCACCCATTGGATCTACTGGTTGGATGTGAGAATGGCGTGCAAACTTAGTGGATCGAGCAAAAAGGGCAAATGAAAGAGAGAGAAAGAAAAATGAATAGAGGTGTCGTGGAAGAACACGGTCACGATCCTTATTGCTGACTCTTTGGTCGTGTGATGGATGAAGACTACTCTTCAGCCAAGGCTAGGCCGAAGATCATCTCTAAGGGCTATGCGCCAACGAAAACTACTCTTTAGCCTATAAGTGCTAGTTTTCGGCCCAGCATAGAACGAAAAGTTCTCTTCAACTAACGCGTGGACAAAGAGTCCCTCTCCATCCCATGCACGAACAAAGAGTACCTCTTCGGTCAACGCGAGAACAATAGGTCATAGAACTGCAATTCCCAAATTAGGTTATATATTTCAGAATTTGTTAAAAAATTGTAAAAAATCATCGGTGTGCCTAGCGTCGTCGGACTTTGTGTGTCTCTAGTAGATCTCACGGATTCAGTTGCTGTTGGTCTTCGGTGGATCTTCTTGGATCCAGTCTTCATTCATGTGCTTGGATCCTTCTGATCTACAATCTCTTCATCAGCGACGATTGTTGTTCTGGTGCACTGGTTCTATGGGGCCTTAGCACGATGAGTTCTCGCCGGTCTAATACAACACATTTTGCCCAGCTCCGATATGGAAGGGGCGATGACAATGGTGTGCCTTCGGCTCGCTATAGTGCTTGTAGTCGTCAATGGGTGTTCTAAGAACCTGGATGTAATTTTTGTTACTTCTCGTGTTCTTTGTACTGTCATGGCAGATGATGAATAGATTGGAAGTTTTTCTCGGAATAAAAATCATGCCACCAAATCAAGTCATGCATGTATTTTTCTCCGTGAAGGAATCAAGTCATGCATGCATGTCAGTCACAAGTTTCTTTTTTGGCCTTAATTTTTGTGTGGTTATAAATGGTATATGTGCTCGAGGCTTGGAGGAGAACTATATAATTTGTGCTTCACATTTTTATTAACAGATGGTCCGTGTTAAGTACAATTCAAAACTTGTACTCCTTTTATCACATACTTCATAGGTTTGCTTGTTTTAAAATGTGAATAAAGAACGATCGTACTTTTTCACTAGTTCTAATTGTTTTAATTGTTTTTTACGGATTTCTTTTAACACAGTTCCATGGAAGCGCACGGGGCATCATTTAGTTTTAACATGTGTTAGAGCAACTCTAGCAGACCCCGCAAAACAGGCAAACCTGCAAAATTCCGGCGAGTATACGGACTCGGCCCATTTTACCGACCAGAACAGAGCCCACATACTCACCCAGTCTGCAAAAAAAATTGCCGCAGCCCGCAAACTGCGCACCTCGACCACTATAACTGCGGTTCCGCGACTCGTTTGCGGGTCCAAACCCTATCCCTCGCCGCCGCCGAGCCACGCGATTCCCCTTCCCCCTCTCCACATTTCTTGCCGCCGGCGACCACCCGACCCGCCTTCAGCCGCCATGTGGGGCCGAATGTGGAGCTCCGGACGTGGCTCCGGCAGCAGATCCAGCGGCGGAAAGGACACGGAGCGCGAGCGGCGCGTCCGGTCCAACGGCGCGCGAAAGCCTGGGGCCCGGAAATGGACCAACCGCGGCCTATCGCTGCCGGCGAGCTTCCAGCGGAGCGAGACAGCGGAATACGACCGTCGGCATGCGTCCTTCTCCTCCACGAGGTCCTCGTACGCCAGGAGCTCCTCCTCCTCCGGCGCGGGGCCTTCTCCCCGTGAAGAGGGAGTGGTAGGAGGAGCCCGAGGAGCCCGCTCCGCTCGGCCACTGCGGAGTCATCGGGCCGGAAGACTACGTCGCTGACGTCGACGCCGTTGTGGCCGCCATCGCCGAGCGGAGCGTGTGCGAGGAGGCGGAGCGCCAGCGCCACGCCGAGGAGCTTGAAGCCCTCAAGTGGCGGGAGGCGGTCGCCGCCAACCTCGCTGCCAAGGAGAAGGCCGAGGAGTGGCGCCGCATCCGCGCGGAGCAGGCGGAGAAGTACGTCGACCTGTGCAGCTCCGGCGAGGAGGATTGAGCGTCCGGCTCCTCCACGGCGTTGTCCATTTGCCGCGACCTCGCCGCCGTTAGATCCGCCCCCTCTAGTACTAGTTTAACGTAGTATGTAGTATAACTGTGCTTGTAGTTTGTTGATCATGTGATGAAATATGTTTGTGCAATTTCTTCGGCGAAAGTGTTTTTTTAATTATGCAGGTTTAGATACGGGTTCTATTCGGCCGCGCTAGTTTTTGACTCGCAAACGTGATCTTCATGAAACCGCAAACGCGTTTTGCGGGTCAAATTTTTGCGGGGTCTGCTAGAGTTGCTTTTAGGGTGACAAGATGTGGGATATTCACCGGCGATAAATGCTAATTTAAATCGAATAGTATGTCCATTTTTTAAGCGGTCCATTTATTTTCTACGTATTAAAATAGTAAAAAATGAGTGATATTGCGGTTTCTTGTTAGCCCCGCCAACTAATATTCAACCCTCACGTGTTTTCCAACAGACAGGGAGCAGCGATGGACATTTTAGGCCTGCTTGGACATTCTGTATGCGGAGCCAAGGGATGTTTGGATTCATGCGGCACGATTTAGTCAAGCGCCACGCTAATTCCACACTAATAGGGAGGCTACTAGGAGTGTAGGGCACTGCAGTATTATTAAAAAACGACAGCACAGGCGGCATGCAGAGACCGGGTTGGAGTGCTGATACTAGTTCGAAAATCGCCGATGACGACGATGACCGCGCACCGATCATAGCAGAGACGGGCCGTCGCCGTATCAGACATGCGTGGTTGGCGAGGGAGACTTGGAATAAAACCGTTAATAACCCAAGTCCACGTAGAGGCTTTGGAGTTGGACTGATAGAGTTAGGCAGCCTGCTTTTGGTCTTTTTGGGGCTGATATGATGTGATGGCGAGGGCGAGCCCGGTCCATTCATGCATGGCTGCGCTGCAGGATGGCTCCATCGTTCATCTTCGCGCGCGTGCTGTGTGGTTTTACACCTGTCAGGTGAGAGGTGCTACACGGCGAACGTTCCACCGAAAACAACATGTGTTGATGAAAATACAGCACAGACTACCGACCTAGCTGCAGTTGTTATTTTTCAAGTGAGATCTTTGTCACTATAAATAACAAATAAACGGTGTCCGCAAGTAACATTTAGTTAACTTTACTAGCATCATACTTTATTTAGAAAAAAACTTTATTGAACTGTTAAATCATAAGTGGGCTCATACGGAATTAAACGGACCTGGTTTACATCCCTATTTTCCATCTCTATCCCACCCTAAGACTCGTTAAAAACCATGCATGTTACATATTACTTCCTGTTTTTCAGTATACTCTTGTCTTCGATGTGTTCGATCACATGAGTGCTGTTTAGCCCGAACAGGGATTATATGCTAATTTGATGACCCGCGATATTTTGCATCCGGTAATCAGGTTAGGTGGTACTCAAGCTTGCAAGTCGCAACTGAACCGTACGAGTTCGATACTTCTAGCCAACAGTACCACTAGTAGAAACTAGAGAGTGCCAATGCAGTGCGGTTGTAACATTGTCAGCTTATACCTAAATTCAGTTCGTTTGGCAATAGCTAAAACTCGTGAACGCCTGCTAATTACAGTAACTCAGCCGATACGTCACACGTGCACGGTCGTCAACGTTTCGTGTACCAGAACAGAATTATGTTCATCGCGTATTTTAAATAACAATATGGGAACGAGATTTGAATTCAAAAACACATGCATATATCATATCGATCCCATTGGACGAACAGGAGTATCTGCCGGGTACAGCGCAAATCGTGGCGGTTGCAGAGGATCAATATCCACAATGTGTCCATGTACACCATCCACTATTGTGAGTTTGTGACCTAACGGCCGAGTAATTTTCTTTTCATGATAATATGTGTTTATCATAAGAATCATAGTACAAATCATGTACATATTAACTTGACAAGACAGGAAAAACAGCAGCAACCCGGCCTTCTTTGCACGAAGAGAAACATCAGCCAAAAAAAAATTACAATCAAGACCGAATAAATTCTGTAGCTTCACACCATCGCCCCTCATATGCCTCTGGCATCATCATAGTAGACATAAAAAAAATGACGGATCATCTCCTTACCCGAACTCGACGCGGCTTCGTCACTAATATTTAGATCCAAGGTGACTCACCAAAAGACGAAGTCATTGCCGTTGAACATCTAGTGTACAACACTAGTATTTTGTATTTACGTACTAATATGTATAGTACTACGTGTACTTCTAGTGATTAAGCGCCGTAGCCGGCGTGCTCAGGTCCAGAGCTGCCGGGCCTCTTCCCACGGCGCGGAGTCGAAGTCCGAGTTGTATAGCGGTTGGTACATGGCGCCGCCGCCGCTACCACCGATGCCGTTCAGCTGGTCGCCCAGTGGCGGTGGCTGGTGCAGCTGCTGGTCGCCTCGGTGATTGGCAGCAAACTCGACGCAGACGAGGGCGAGGAGGTTGGCGTGCTGTGTCTGGATGCTTAGGAGGTCGGCCTGCGCCCGCGCCAGGTCCACCTTGAGCTCGTTGGCTTCCTTCTGCAGCCGGCACACCGTCCCGGCGCACCCGTACACTGGGTCCCGCAGCCGCGCCTCCGCCTCGTACACCATGCTGCTCACCGCGTCTGCCCGCGAGCTCTCCGGCAAATCCTGCACCGATCCATGCAGAATCCGCATCAACACAGCACTTGCACGCACGCGCGGTATGCAGCGCACGTCACGTATGTCAAACTAAAATGTGCTCCATACGAACCTGGAGGAGCTTGATGATGTTGCTGGCACCGAAGACGCGGTGGGCGGTGGTGAACTTGGCGGGCCCGGTCGGCGGGAAGTAGGGCGCCAGCATGCAGCCGTCGGCGCAGCGGCGGCGGAGGACCTTGCACGCCGCGCACGGGCTGAGGACGATGGTCGGCGGCGACGACGGCGCGTTCCCCATCAGCGGAAATACAGGGGGCGGCGAGCACGACGACACGCGCGACGGCGGCGACATGGAGCGGCCGTAAGGTTGCGCCGCGGCGGTGATCGTGGCCTCGTTGCTGTAGTCCATGGCGTATAGGAGAGCAGAGCACACGGAAAGTCAGTTATGTATGTGATGGAAATAAGCAGCGAGGAGAGTGAAACACCGGCCGCGAGATCGCTGTGATCTGGCAATATATCTTCCAAGTTGAGATGGAGCATACATTGGTATATATAGAGGACAGGCTTACGTGGAGTATTTTCTTCCACGCGATCGAGATCGATATGTCTTCTTGGAACGCAGAAGAACAAACGTGCTCGTAGTCAACAGAAAATCAGTTGCAGTTTTGCTGGTACGTAAGTATGTACCAGCCAGCGTGATTTCTTGGACAAGTTTGGCAGAGTTTTTGGAAGGCTAGAGTGACTAGATGTCTAACTAGACAGGACATACTGCTAACTAATCGCTTGATTAATAAATTCGTACACAAAGTCCTGACATGTTTTTTAATACCCTGCCAGTTTTGTTTTGTCATAATATAGTAAGAATGACCTCCTTCTACAAAAATCATATGAACACTTTCAAATTAGACTGTCTTTAATGAGAGTATCATAGATAGTCCATGCATGCCTACTGTGCATTGACATATAACTAAATAAAGAAAAAAAGAGTTCAATATCATATCATGATATCGAATCATCTTAAGGTTCCTTTTGTTTGGGCTACGAATTCCTGAAAATCACTGCGGCTATGAATTCCTGCAAATCAGCTGTAGATTTGGATTCTCATAAATCAGAATTTGTCTGTTTGTTTGCTCGTTGTCGGAGCTACAGAACGGACGGACAACGGAGCTCGTAGTGGAGGGGCAGAGGTGCCCGGACGAAGGTGGCAGTGGCCGAACCTAGAGAGCCATCGCCGTTTCTGTTCTATCTTCTGAATGCGGTCGGTTGGGGAAGAAAGACCAGGTGGAGAAGAACTGTCAGTGCAGAAAATTGGGGTGCGGTGGCATTTCATCGTATTAACGGGGAGAACTTGGTGTATTTTTCAATCCTTTTATTGCGAGTAAGTGTATTTTTCAATCTGGGTAAGTGGCAGATCGGGAATTAGCAAAATCGATGATTCCAGCTTCCGGCTGCGTGTAGTGCATTTTTCAGAACTGATTCTAGATAGCTAATGTGAAAATCCAAGTGTTTGTTTGAGACTCGGATTTGCATGGGCTAGAATCCGAGAATCTCTAGCTAAAGCCCAAACAAAAGCCACCAAAATGATGTGCTACTATGTGTCATGCATGACAATAAGTAAAGTCATCTATGATACTAATACATGATACTCCCTCCGTCACAGTTTAAAATTAATAATTTTTGCATACATCGCTTTTCACATTATGTGTCATAGTACATCGCTTTTCACATACATATTATATTAAACAGGCTTAGAATTAATGATTTTCGCATACATCGCTTTGACGATGAAGACATCAACGATACTCAGTCTCCATTGAAATACATCTGCGTACATCAATCTATCACACTAAATGAAGTCATGTTGTCCATTTATCATCAAGAGTAAGATGCATGCATGGTCCTAATTCTTTCACCAAAGCATTGAATTGATTCTAATTCTTTCAAAATGCATGTCTGAGTCATAAATCTTTTGAAGTTATTCATCCGAGGTCCTCATCTCTTTGACCACACCTGACGTGTCAGCGTGGCGCTTTGACCCTGCCCATGTAGACAGAAGGTCCAACGGTGGCTGGATATTTATGCAAATTAGCCCTTATAATATTTATGCTTCCCAACCCCGCTCCCTATGTCCTCTAGACTTCTCTCTGTCGGCGCTCCATCGCCATGTTCGCCAGCGCAAGCTCGTCTGCAGTCAAGCGCCACAAGAAAAAGTCATTCGGTGCAGCCTAACCTTGGCAACGCCGTCTCCATCGCCAGTAGTAGCTCCTCTTGTACCGTTCGCTACCATCGGGGAGGCTACCGTTGGTGCCATGTCCCCGCCCGCGCGTGCCTCCCATCACGACCAGCCCAAGCCAGAGCTCGCCTCCTCCCGCCGTCGGCAGCAGCTGCTGCACCCCAGTGCCTTACAACTCCCCCTTCCACATGTTCTTTCCTTCACCTCCTCCTCACTCCCGGTCTCTCATCTTCCTATCTCTCCCAGCGCATGAACCTCCATGGACGAATGCCCGAGCTCTCTTGTCGCCGATCTGGACACTGTCTGCCGGAACCCTTGCGTCACCGGCCAGATCCGGTGCCCTGCGGTTGGATCCGCCATCCCCGCCGCCGCAACTCTTCTCCTCCTCGGCTCCGGCGAGTCCCGTCGCTTGGTCATGGTGCGGTCACGCCAAAGGAGACGACGAACGCCCCTACTGCCTCACTCGTCTTCAGTGGGTGTGCGAGCGCCCCTGCATGCACATGCACGGCGATGGACACGACAGATGATGGATTATTCCTAGCGTCTTTGGCACATCCTAGTGGCCGACGCTATCGGACTACCGCTGCTGATGACCTCTGCTTCTCACCGGAGCAGCGCTGCCACTGTCGCTCGCTTTCGGTTTTGCCACATAGGGGTGGGGGAGAGGAAAGGGGATGCGACTATGAACAAATTAATGTTCGAGGACTTTTTTTCAAATATGTATGACCGTTCATTACTCCTTCTGGGTTCTCCTAGTCATGTGGCCATGGTCAAAGCGCCACGTAGGCAGGTCAGCGCTGGTCAAACGAATTTAGGAACTAGGATGAACAATATCAAAAGATTTAGGACCATTTTGAAAGAATTATGATTCAGTCAAAACTTTGGTGAACGAATTAGGACAGTCCATGCATTTTACTCTATCATCAATTAAAGCCATGCGAAATTGAACATTCAAGGGGTTTGCTCCGAGCACGGAGGCCACTAAGACCTCATTTTTGTGTAATATTATAGTATAAGGTTGGATATTAGAAAGCCAACTGAGAGTTCCCCAACAAGTTGTGCGTGGATGACAAGATACTTACAGTAAGTGTGTTGGTGATCACCCAATTATGGTTTAGTTAGCATGGTCCAGAGAACATTGACTTCATCACCTTTGCAATTCATTTCTCGCGTACATATATGCTAGGCTCCGATTTTGCTGGAGATATTCCCGATCAGAAGTCTTCTTGGCATGCAAAAGGTCGCGTCATTGTGTCAATGGTCAGCAAGACCTTTTCACTAGAGTATGAGGATGCTGTTGACCGACATGGACTTCGCTACATCTCCCCATTTGTCATATGTGGATTTTCGTGATCATTTTCCGGTATCTTCCTAGGCCCATATCAATCATTTTGATTTTTCAGCTTAAAACTTCTGGAAGACGAAGAACAAAATGAACAAAAAGAAGAGTTTAGTTAGTTATACATATATGAGACAGGTTTCTTTTTTACATCCATATAGGAGACATGTTTGACTTTCCATGGTTGTAAGTTCAAAGCTGGAGACCATTTCCAAGCGCATGACAGGCGAGGGAGGCTGTTAGGTAGCTCGGTACATGCAAAATTATAGCTAGTGGATACGTGGTCTTGAAGGGGTCATGCAATCTCGACCTACAAAATGCGTTTGCAGTTTTACGAAAATCTCATTTGCGGGTCGAGAATTAGCGCGGCCGAACAGAAATCATAGATGAAACTCCATAATTTAAAAAAATAGTTTCGCGGGAGAAATTGCACATCCTGAACATGAGTAGTTCATCACGTACTACATATATTTTACATGATCAAACACTACAAACACTAGTTCATACTAAATATTACATCAGTACTAGTACTAGAGGGGGGTGGGGGGATCTCACGGCGGCGAGCTCGCGGCCATGGACGACGCCGTGGAGGAGCTTAATCCTCCTCGTCGGAGCTGCCGAGGGCGATGTACTTCGCCCTCTGCTCCTCGCGGATGCGCCGCCACTCGTTGTCCTTCTCCTTGGCGGCGAGGTTGGCCGCGACCGCCTGCCGGAACTGGAGGTTTTCGAGCTCCTCGTGGTGGCGCCGGCGCTCCGCCTCCTTGCGCACGCTCCGCTCGGCAATGGCGGCCGCAACCGCGTCGACGTCGGCGACGAAGTCCTCCGGCCCGACGACTTCGCGGCGGCCGAGCTCCTCGGGCTCCTCCTTGACGGGGACGAACTCGAAGTCCTCTGGCTCCTCCGGCTCCTCCGACCACTCCCTCTTCACGGGGAGAAGGCCCGCGCCGGAAGAGGAGGAGCTCCCGACATAGGAAGATCTCACCGCGGAGGAGAAGGACGCGACAGAGGACAAGGTACGGCCGTGCCGATGATCGTACTCGTCCGTCTCGCGGACGCGGAAGCTCGGCGGCGGCGAGAGGCCGCGGTTGGTCCACTTCCTCGCCCCGCGCTTCCTCGCGCCGTCCGACCGGACGCGCCGCTCACGCTCGGGGTCGCTGCAGCCGCCGGATCTGCTGCCGGAGCCGCGTCTGGAGCTCAACATGCGGCCCCACATGGCGGCTGGAGGCGGAAGGGGGTCGCCGGCGACGAGAAATGTTGAGAAGGGGGGTGGGTAATTGCGTGGCTCGGTGGTGGCTGTGGATAGGGTTTCGACCCGCAAACGCGCCGCGAAACCGTAGATATAGTGGTCGGGGCGTGCGGTTTACGGGCCGCGGCAAATTTTTTTATGGGTCAGGCGAGTATGCGGGCTCTATTCTGGCCGGAAAATTGGGCCGAGCCCGCATACTCACCGAAATTTTGCGGGTTCGCGGCTTTTACGGGGTCTGCTAGAGTTGCTCCTAGGCACTTATAGGTATAGTACACTACCACACCAAGTAGTTTATTATTACAAAAAAGGTACTTCCTCTGTAATATAAAATGTTTTAACCACTACATTAGTGATTTAGTATATTTTATATTAGTTTACAGAGAAAGTAGATTGAAGAGTCATTTTGATATGATACACTACTGCAAATCAACTATTAAGTACTAATGCACACGATCGCATCAGCATGAAGGAAGAGTTGTAAACCATGTACAATCAGAGGTAAATGCACGCAGAGGTGGAGGTAGCAGACGATTGCACCTAGGGCTGACCTAGATTGACTGATGAATTTTCATGATTTTCTATACTTTGTAA